CTTAGAGATGGATCCAATGGAGAAGGTGGAGCCTGAGGGGACGATTTGTTCCCCTGGGATTGAGGTTCCCTCGGGAGTCAGCGTGCAGAGCAAACCGCCGCTTCTAGAGGTGAGCCGCTGCATCACTCGTAGTATTGCCCGTCTCCAGGCGAGTTCTTCCATCGCCCTACGTTCCTAGATGACTGGCTTTTCGATCTTAGTGTGGAACATTCGGGGCACTGGGAACCCCTGGGCACAACGGGATATTCATTACTTGTGTCGAGAGCATCGGGTGTGTATTCTGATCCTATTGGAGCCTATGGTTGAGGCGGCGCCAGAGTATTTCTGTCGTCGCTTGGGATTTGCACAGATGATAGGGAATGAGGCGAACACGATTTGGTTGTTTTTCGATAGCTCATTCCAGATTCAGATGTTTGCGAGTGTCAATCAGTGGATTCATGTGCAGATATCGTCACCGCAGATAGGTCGACCTTTCCTGCTGACAGGGGTTTACGGGAAATGTAGTGTTGTTAGACGTCGGGAGATATGGAGATTCTTGGAGGAGACTGCAGTCTCAGCCGTTGGGGTTCCTTGGCTAATTAGTGGTGACTTTAATGCCATCACAGATATAGCAGAGGGAGGGCCCGTGGCGGCCGCGGCTGCGATCGATTCAAGATTTTTTTGGAGCTCTCCTTGATGCTGGACTGATAGATTCCGGTTTTGAGGGTCCTCAGTATACTTGGACGAACCGGCGGGTGTGAGAGCGCTTGGATCGGATACTTTATAGTCGTTCGTGGGAGGAGTTTGGGTTTAGGGTCCACGCGGGTTTGGCACCACCCGCGGATGTGTTCAGATCATGCACCTCTATTGGTTCGGATTTCGCATGAGCGACATCGGGTTTCGTCAGCATTTAGATTTCAGAGCCTATGGATTAGTCATCACTCTTATATGGATAGAATCCGGGAGAGTTGAGAGGTTCCGACGGGAGTGTTGGGGCTTCTCAACTTACACTTGAAGCTAGGAAGGCTCAAGCAGTCATTGAGGTGGTGGAATCGACATGTTTTCGGAGATGTGTTTCATATTTTGGCGGAGGCCGAGAGGGAGGCTGCGGAGTGTGAGGCCTAGTATGATCGGGATCCTTCGGAGGCTACTTTATTACGCCGACAGCGCAGTGCGGCAGCTTTGACACATGCCATTACATTGGAGGAGGCGTTTTGGAGGCAGAAGGCCACATGTAGGTGGGCGGTCATGGGGAGAGGAACTCCCAGATGTTTCATTTGATGGTCCGGGAATGCCGCCGACGGGCGTCTATCTTTTACATATGAGATGGGGATAAGGAGCTTACGGAGCACTCAGACATCAAGGCATCGGCAATAGCTTATTTTGCCTCAATGTTTAAGGAGGCAGATGATGTTGATACCTCGGGTATGGATGATTTGGCGGATATGCTGCCGCAGGTTCCACTGGAGGAGAACCGGCGGCTCTTGGTGCCACCGACATTGGCGAAGGTTCGGGAGGCTGTATTCTTGACAGATCTGGATAGTGTGGCAGGTCCGGATGGATTTTTGGCAACTTTTCATAGGGCTTGTTGGGAGATTATTGGTCCGGATGTGTTAGCCGTTGTTTTGGAGTTCTTTTCGGGGATCCCACTCCCGAAGTTTTATACGGCCACTATTATCGTCCTTATCTTGAAGAGGGATGCTCCGGAGTCTTGGGCTGATTATAGGCCGATTAGTTTGTGAAACGTGAGCAACAAGATCATCACGGTGCGATTAGGGACTTTGCTACCGCGCCTACTTTCACCGCATCATAGTGGGTTTTTGAAGGGGCGCGTGATTGCAGATAATATATTTATGGCATCCGAGATAGTTCATGACTTGAACCTTAGAGGCACGTCGCATAACGTGCTTATGAAATTGGACCTTAATAAGGCATATGATAGGGTGTCTTGGCGTTTGAGGCATGCCTTATTGAGGTTCGGTTTCGCAGAGGAGTTCATTACATTGGTGATGCAATGTGTGGAGCATGCTTATTACTCCGTCTTGATTAACGAGATCTTGGGGGATTTTTTAAATCCTCCCGAGGGGTCCGACAGGGGGATCTGTTGTCGCCTACTTTGTTTGTGTTTGCGGAAGATCTTTTATCGAGGGGTTTAGAGCATCTCTACCAGGAGTGCCTGGAGCTTTACTTTAGATGTAGAAGGGGGTTTCGGCTATCCCATTTAGCATATGCCGATGATGTCTTGATATTTCCGAGTGCCTGTGGGGAGCGGATGAGCTCTTTGATGGCCTTCTTGGCTGATTATGCATGGATCACTGGCCAAAAGGTCAATTGTCAAAAGAGTACGATTATTTTTAGTCGGAGATGCCCGGAGGGAGTCCGTGAGCAGCTTTAGACGGTCACGGGATTTAGAGTTGCTGATATTCCACTTACTTATCTTGGTGCGCCCCTTTATGTGGGGAACCAGAGGAGTATTTTATATGATGAGCTTTTAGGGAAGCTTCGGAGATATTTGAGCCGCTGGGATCGGGCTGTATTGTCACATGGCGGCTGATTACAGCTTATTCGGAGTACGTTTTGTCCCTTCCACTGTATTTACTTCAAGTGTTACATCCGCAACAGTCGATACTTCATGAGGTTGAGCAGATCTGTGTGCAGTTTTTTTGGGGCTCGTACCACGGTCATTGCTAGCGTCATTGGATTTCTTGGGCTGATGCGGCACGGCCGCAAGAAGAAGGTGGCTTGGGACTTAGACGGCTCTCGGATATGGATCATGCATTTTCTATGAAGCTTTGGTGGAAGCTTCGTGAGGGTTCCTCCTTGTGGGCGTAGGCGATGCGGCACAAGTACTTTCGCGAATCCTTCCCGGGTAGTGCTCCTTGTCGAATATACGACAGCCCGGTGTGGAAGTGCTTGTTCCGTGTTAGGAAGGAGGTTCAGGCCCAGATCTATTGGACTTTAGGCCGAGGGGAGTGTTATTTTTGGGAGGATAGATGGTTCGAATAACAGCCCCTTTCGGCCTTTCGGGAGGGTAGACTACCCCACCGATATTAGTCTGGGACATGTGGTGTGGTGACGCATGGGACGTTGGGCGACTACGAGTGTATCTTCCGGAGTCACTAGTTCAACGTGTTATGAAGGTTTTTATCGATAGACAGTCTGAGGACCGGATGAGTTGGATGGCTGCGCCATCTGGCACATTTACGACATCATCGGCGTGGGAGCTTTGCCGTGATACAGGGGTACGGAGTTGGCTTTCAAGGATATTATGATTGCACCTCCTTACTCCGACAATGTCAGTCTTTTTATGAAGATTATTTCGGCAACGAATACCGACAGATGAGATCCTTTAGCACTATGGTGTTTCGATTGTTTCACAATATCATTTTTGTTGTATTAAGATGAAGACTATTTTGCATCTCTTTATTGGTTCGGAGGTTTCCCAATGAGTATGGGAGCACTTTGCGGCGCTTTCCAGGCTATCTTTGCTAGAGACACATACATTGCATCTATTCGTGTCCTCGTGGAGACTTTCTTCGGCATACTCTCAGAGTATCAGGGCATATGTTCCGTTGTTGATACTATGGTTCATCTGGATTGCTCGGAATGATGCGAAGCATCGGGGACTTCGTGTATCTTCCGAGAAGATCATTTGACGGATTCATTCACACTTGCAGACTCTTTGGCGAGCTAGGATTCTCTTACGTCGACATTGGGCGGGTGACTTTCATATATGATAGTTAGAAATCACATGCGTTAAATGTTCATATTATATGCGATATTTGATTGATTTTGATTGGATTCTACCTAATTTATATGCGTATTGTTTATTTTCTGTGTGCAGAGGGCAAATATCAAATTTGGCATAATTGGCAGAAAAAGTAAAGAAAAATTCAGATTTGCACCACCTAGTTAGTCATGGCCTATATCCTACTGACATGGGAATTTAATTAAAGGCCCAAAAGCCCAGGTACAAAATAATTAGGGCAAAAATTAAATAAAAGGGGGAGGGATCACACGTTTGAAAGGGGGAGGACAACAGAGCAGATACGCACAAGAGGAGGAGAACGGCTAGAGCAGATACGCACAAAAGTAGGAGACTGACAGACTGCGTAGGAGCAAATCGACATAGAAGATTTCCCCTCCCACTATGACTTTATCTTTCTCTTTTGTTCTTTGTTATTTGATTATGAAGTAGATACTTTTCTAGTTTGAGGGGTGATAATGTTTTGGTTCTTTTGTTTTGAAGATTCTTGATTTTCTTTATAAAAGTTCTTTTTTATTATCAATATTTGTCTAATTCTGATAATAAAGTTTGTTATTATTAGATTGATTGAATATTTTGATACCGATATTTGAATTAATCTGATAATCTAAAGTCAATTCAGGTAGGATATCCGTAATTGTATTCGCACTTGAATATGTGACAACCAGGTTTAATAGTTCATTCCCGAGGGTTGGACAATCAAATCTAATTGCTCATCTTATGTAGTAATTGTTTTGAATTGAGTTTTTCTAGATTAGAATGCGATTAGGCAATATATCTTACGGGCGCACCTAGGTTTATTTGCTTAATTAGGGGTAGTTAACGGTCATACCTTAATTACCTACACTGTAAGGAAAAATTGGTTGTCAGAGCTTGTTGATAACTATAACCAATTTATTGATACTTTAATAATAAATAACTTTATTGAATTGTTGATAAAAACACAAGTGCTATAACTGCATCATCCCTTGAGCTAGACATCTCCTTGACAGCTAGTTCTCATTTAATTTCATTTTTTTGTTATTTTATCTCATCAGTTAATAAAAGAAAATTCTCCCATTTTATTTACTGCAATAGAACGCGAAAGAGTGAACCACACAATCCCTGTGGAGACAATCCATTCCCCTGTATTACATTAAATTGTGATCACGGAATAGGTGAAATTCTTTGATTGACCACACGACATGTCAATATAGCAGATGGTCTTTGATTTCGATACCCCCCCTCCGATTCCTTAGCCTCCGATTATGGTGCGATGGGAGGCACTGTCTCCGGGATGGTTCAAGTTAACACCGATGGTGCTTCGCTTGGCAATCCTGGAGCAGCAGGAGCAGCTGGTATTACTGAGATTCACCCGGGGCAGTACTCATTGCATTTTAGACTCCGATTCCGCAGGCGACGAACACTTTAGTATAGCTGACAGCGATTCAGACTGGAGTAGGGATAGCGATTGACCAAGGATTGATGCCGTTATGGATAGAGACAGACTCAACGGCATGCATCTCTCTGATCTCCACCGAGACAAGCCACTGGGCTCTCCAACGATGCCTTATGTGTATTCGGTTGCGGCTTAGGGATGCGACTTGGAGGATATCTCATATATATAGAGAGGGGAACCGCGTCGCAGATGCCTTAGCGACTTTAGCGGTTTCTCTCCTGATTGAACGAATACTTCTCCCTTCAGATATTCCTTTGTCGATTAGAGGCCTCCTTCGAGCGGATGCTGACGGTCTCTCGACCTTCCACTTCAGCTAGCAGACTTCACTTTTTTTTTTCTTGATTCTTGACTTAGCCTTGATAGATGATATTTGGACTTGATAGTTTAGTATTTGATTTCGATGCCTTAGGCATATTGCTTTAGGCCTTGATACTTAGATTACTAACTTGTCTTGTCTGCTTTACTGAGACTGTATAGCTTGTATCTATAGAACTACGTACAGGCTGATCCCGTTCAGGTACGTAGACAACCCACTCTGGGTGCAGCCACTGCTAAATTTAAAAAAAAAAGAAAAGAAATAGATGATAGCTGAAAAAAATCATCCCCTAACCCAATTTTAGAAGCAAAATAAAAAAATCAACCTAGAGTTTGGTCTCGTACAAATAGACATTTCTCAGTTATAAAAGTTCTCCAATAATTTGTAAGCCATTGCATGTCTTTTTTTTTTTTTTTTCTAATTTTTTGTGTCAACATAAAAATAGAAACATTATACCACATAAGCCAATAGAGGTCATTTTATACGTTGTATATGTTCTTAGCGCACACGCAATGATTATAAATCGATGTCTTCTTTCTCCGCTCTAGATATTTTTCATCAATCCAATAAAAAAAAAAATAACATACTGACCAAGTTTTGAAGATAAGAAAATGGAAGTAACTTAACATTTGTATGGTGTATTAGATGGCTTCTTTAATCCATATTTTTCAGAAGTAAATATGTATTTGTTTATTTTCAAAGACTTGAGTTGGATAAAGTAGTTGTAACAGAAAATTTTACGGAAAAAATTATTTTTTATCCCAATATAATCAAAATTTATCAATTTTGGTTTTAATATAAACATCTTATCAATTTTTGTTCAAATATAATCAAAACTCATCATTTTTTGTTCAAATATAATCAAAACTCATCATTTTTTGTCCCAATATAATCAAACATTATCTTTTTTGGTCCCACCGTCAACAAACCGACGAAAAATGCTGACGTGGACTTGCAAGATTATGCAAATTCTTCAAATATAAATATAAGATTTGATTTCTTTTCACGTCAGCATTTTCCGTTTGTTGACGGTGAGACAAAAAAAAAGGTTTGATTATATTGGGACAAAAAATGATGAATTTTGGTTATATTGGGACTAAAATTGATAAAATTTTTATATTGAGACAAAAAATAATGAGTTTTGGTTATATTGAGACAAAAATGACGAGTTTTAGTTATATTGGGACCAAATTGATAAAATTTTTATTGGGACAAAAATTGATAAATTTTAATTATATCGAGAGAAAAAATAATTTTTTTTCCCAAAATTTTATTATAAACTATTGCACGTGTCTTTGTAATTTTGCTGGTGCTTTTTTTTTTATCAAGTAAAATATAATTAGGTGTGATTATTTATATGTATATTTTTTATTTGTAATAGTGTATTTATTTTTAATGAAATGTTTTCATAATTTTAATAAAATATATTATTTTTTATTATAATATATTATATCAAATTAAATTAAAATAAAAAAAAATGAGTACAAAAATACACACACCCAAAATTGCCTAATAAAAAAAAGGTTAAGGAAAACACTAATTGTTCATAGAACACAGTAACCATCTATATAATTTTCGATCCATATTATAAAATAATACAATAATGTACACCATGTATATATATATATATATATATATAATATGATACATTTTTCAAAAGTCAAAAAATTAAAATTAAATACAAATTACTATTAATTTTTCTATATTATATATTTCATCATATCTATATAAAGAAATATATCATACTTAAGCAAGAGAAAATTTAACTTTCTTTTGTGTTATAATTTTTTTTAATATATATTTAAAATATATTTTTAATCCTTAAATATACATACAACAACTACAATTTTAGTAAGAAAAAAAAAAAAAAAAAAGGAAATCTAAAATATCAAGTACATTTTCTATAAATAATAATTTTCTGTTTCTTTAATTTTAAATCTTTGCATCATATAATTTTGGAATTTTGCATCGAATAGATTCATTTTTTTTATATAAAATATAAAAAGATATGTTTATCCGATAACAAAAAAAAAATGAATTATGATCTATATCACTAATAATATAATATATACAAATATTATTATATATTTTAAAAAAATAAATAATTCAATCAAATAATATTCATATTTAACATAAAATATATTTTAAATTAAAAATACAAAATACTCAAAATCCAACAACTATTAAAAAAAATCATTATATTACTGAAGGGTGGTAGTGTAATTTCGCATTTTGCCCCATTATTTTCCTGATCGTTTTATCGAGTAGTATTTTTTCAGGTTTTTTTTATTTTTTATTTTTGGAGTTCAGAGTCTATCTTCCGAAGGGACAGTAGATTTCCAGTGGAACGGGAATTGAAGCAATTCCCCAGGTAATTTCTTGATTTTGATTATGCTTTATCATTTCTTGGAATTGATTTTTTGTTTGTCGGTTTGAAATTTCTGTTGCCTGCGATATAGATCTTAATTAGCTACTAATTAAGCCTTCGAATAATTTTGTTTGTTTGTTCGTATTGTAACTGCGATCCATAGTGCTGATGGAACTGTTTTCTTAATCCGTGTTGAGATCTAGTTAGGATCTAGGGTTGTGAAAGTTTAGTGAATGAATGGATGACCCTTTAATTGTTTGATGATGGATCGTACGGCTGGACTTTGTTGTTTTTTATTGATGATTTGATCTTCTTCTGCTGGATGCAAAATTTTCTGAAATGGATTAGGAGGTTTTAAATTAATTTAATGCTGATATAGATGTCATTGAATCTGGAACCGTGGAATGATTTTATTGTTAATATATTACAAATACAGTTTACAGTGGGGCTGATAGTTTGTTAGAAGATTGGATCATGGAATTCCCTTCCATGCCTTGATTTAAATCTCAGGGTGAAGTTTTTTTCTGTCTGCCTGAAGTAAGGATATATGAAAGTCTTGATTGTGTATGATGGGGTTGTATATATGATATGTGAGGATTATTTTGTTCCCCAAATGGCTCGGCTCACTACTGGATATCGCGGATAGTTAATCACATATTTGTATATGGTAATACATATAGATGTATGTATGTGTAGCTACCAAATATTTTGAAGTGAAATCTGAATTTGATTAATATTTGAAGCCCGGTTTATATGTCATATATGCAAATTGAACACCTGAAACCAATTTTAGATCCATTCATGATTCACTTAGAGATGCGTTTGGTGAATTATTTCAATTCCTTAGACGATGAGTCGATAACATAGTATGCTAGATCATCAGTGATATTACTCACTACACCACTAATATTAACTTCCTAATCAATTTGAGAATTTGTTTATATTTTATAACTCCAAACAAGGTTAAAAAAGTGATAAATGTTCTATAGGACTGAACACAAAACGCTAGCTTTCTTAATTCTTATTTGGATACAGGCTTTAATGTCTTTAAATTTTCTGAATGAAGTTGCTTGTTAACTTATTCATGAACGTTATATGTGTGCGGTCCAGGTGTTTTTCTATTGCTGCTGTGGTAAAATATGTCGGGCACAGAGAACGTCACAGATCAAACAGAAGTTGTTATGGAGGATGCCGAAAAGTCTGTGGCAGTAACAAAGCAGGAAGTTGCGTCTCTATGATATTCTCCTCTGGCATATTCAAACTTTACACATGTTTCTGTCATGTTCTAATTAGACACATTATGTTTCATTCACAGGAGGAAGTAATTAAGAAGAAATATGGAGGGATAATGCCAAAGAAACCTCCTTTGATTTCTAAGGTATTCTGTAACCTCCTTGCAAATTTAATAACCCATTCTTATTCTTTCTAAAATGATTTCATTCAATTCCAGGATCACGAACGTGCATACTTTGATTCAGCTGATTGGGCTCTGGGGAAGGTGCTTTTTTTTCTCTCTTTTTAATTTCTTGTAACTTTTGTTAGTGCTTACTTCATTTTGTGAATTACATAAAGATTCATCCTTCTATTATGAATGCAGCAAGGTGTAGAGAAGCCCAAAGGACCACTTGAGGCTCTTCGACCAAAGTTACAGGTATTCACATCCTTTTCCGCTAGTGCTTTTAGTGCCCTGCAATTCTTATTAGACTCTCTTCGAAGGGCACCTTAACAGTATAAAGAAAGCTGAGAAGTAGTAGATAATAAGAAAAGCTCACATCAAGTCATTTGGTATATTCATAATAATGATAATGAATCCTTTGGGAATGCCAAAAAAAAAAAAGACGCATTACAAGGAGGCAATCCTGAGCCTGTACTTTGCGTGGTTTGTGCTTAGCATTCTCTGTGCTATAGTTAGTTGTAGTATTATTTGTTGCAGGTAATTTTGCAACCAACTAAAAAAAAAAATCTCTTATTTGGGTTGAAGTGTGAATATGTGCATCTGATTCTAATTGTTTGAAAATTCAATTTTAAACCAGAATCATGAAGCCCCTTCAAAGGATATATACATATTCCTTTAAATAAAACAATAATTATTTAAAGTTTAATTTCTGTCAAAATATGGGCTGTATTTACTTGTGTTTTGGTTTCTATTTTCACACTATTCAATCCGTAGTTCATTTCCATTTTTCCTTCAAAAAAAACGTAACTTTCAATGATTATTTTCCATTCAAAATATTACATAATACATTCTACTGATCACAATAATATATTTCTCCTTTCTTTTAATTTAAAATGCGTTAAAGTTAAAAATATCCTTTGATTAACTTTTTCTAGTCATGATTTTATTTGGCAACATAACAATTACGACTACTGATTCTAATGTTAATTTCAAGTTATATATATACATATATAAGTAGTACATTCTTGGACAATGCGGAAGTTCTTTATGCATGCAAGTTCCTTTTGCATCTTGAAAATCAGGTCGGCTATGATGTGTGTTTGTGCGCACGCCTGCACATGTATGTTATGTACATTTTCTTTTTCCTTCAACTAACTCATTCTTGTCTTTAATCACGGGTGTTCTAGCCAACACAACAGCAAACTAGGTACCGGAAATCCCCCTACGCGCCATCAGAAGGCGAAGGTAAGCATTACTGTCTAAACTACAAAATACAAACAGTTTGAGATTCTCAACCAACTCCTCACACTAATATCGTGTAGTCATTCCTGAAAGTCTTTTAATAAGATCTTCTCAGGGTGCTTTTGCAACATTAGCATAATAATTCTTTGTTCTGTGTAGAGGGCAGTGCTGCACCGTCTGAAAATCCGACTGCAAATGAATGAGAAGCAGCTGTCGATCATCCGAATTGTTAGGGAATTTCTCCATCTCTACCTGCATCGTAATTTTTAGTACGGTGAACTTTTCATGAATAAAACTTACCGTGATATTCTAATATGAGCTTCAGATAAAGGTGCATTGAAACTACTCTCCCTGCTCTGCTGTAATCCCCCGATCAATAGGTTTTGCCAAACTTATTCATGTTGTAGACTGTTTTCCTTTTTTTCTTGAATCGACTGGAATTTATGATCGAGTTTAAAATTTCTAATGTGTCTTTTGGATTGTCTGATTCTATACGCATCCTAGGTTGCCGGTGAATGTTTTGGTCACCAATTTAGTTGTTTTAAAGTTTGGACCTAATCGACTTTTGAGAATGGTAGATTTAAATTATTTATTTTGTGTACTTAGATCCAGCCAGTTTCGTTCGTTCAAAAATAAAGTTTGAATGGATTAACGAGCTAAAGTTTGTATTCGATTTGTAGCTTATTATATTTGTTAAGTGAAGTTTTCTTAAGTTTAGGATGAACTTTTTAATTTTGGAGCTCTTAGTTTAAACTTAATCTATTTGTCAGATGAGATTTTCTCAAGTTTAATTAGGAGGGACCTTTCATCATATGCTAGTTTTATTATATTTTGGAGCTCTTTTTACTGCTCCTAATGCAATGCTTTGAGGAAGATGGATACAGGGATGTGTATATATTTTATGTGTATATATATATATATATATCTCTGTGGATGTGTATATGTGCAAGTAAAAGAGGAAGATGGATAGAGGGATGGGGAGAAAACTTTATTGGGTAGACTGTTTTTATAGTTCCGTAACTGGATCCCTTTACATTTTAGTCCTATAACGCAAACTAGTCCTATAAGTGAAATTTTTTTGATGTTTTAGTCCTCTGGCGCCGGAGACGCCCGCGTGGCTCGCCGAAATCTATGTGTCCGCCAGGTCAGCGACATCGGGTGAACACGTAGATTTTATTTTTTTTAAATTTTTTTTAAAATTTTTTTTAATTTTGTTTTTCAATTGGAGCAAATAAAAAAATTAAAAAAGCAAATAAAATTAAATATAAATTAAAAATAAATTTTTAAAAAATTTAAAAAAATGAAAAAAAATAAATAAAATTTATGTGTCCGCCAAGTCAGCAACACATGACGGACACGTCATCTCCTGCGAGCCACGCGGACATTTCTGGCGTCGGAGGACTAAAAAAGCTAAAATGATGAAGGGTCTAGCTATGGACTTAAAAAAAACAATTTACCAAATTTTCTTTAATTTATTTATTATTATTTTCTGTAGATTTGTCCAGGAGTTGATTGGTTTAACAACTAATCAAGAACGTGTCAAAATAATTCTGTTATACTTTTGTCATGTTGCAAAATACATGTCCTACGTTGATGCACTATTCTGTATACCTTGCTTATATAATACCTCTTTCCCGCGATACTAGCTTGTTGGGGAATTTAGACAATGGTAAAGTTAATAAATAATTAAAAATATACTAATAAAAATAATTATAAATTAAGGCTCCGTTTGAATCCACCTTTGCCAATGACCTTTTTATTTTTGTTCAAAAGCAAAAATAATTTTTTAAGTTGAAAAATATATATTTTTTAGAAGCATATTGAAAGTAGCTCTTCAATTTGCTTATGGTTTTGACATTCTGCTTGTGTTTGTGTTTTTTGCTTGTATTTATTTTTCAAGCTAATCCAAATGTGTTTTAATATTAAGATAATTAATTAATTTAATTAATATAAATTTTAAGTATAATTAAAATGTATAATTATTGTTTGTAGAAAAATATAAATTATGTAGTATTAGCAAAAATAAATAGGGTAAACTGTTTTTTTTAGTCCCGTAACTGGACCTCCTTATCATTTTAGTCTCGTAAGTGGAGCCTGTCGCAAATTAGTCCCATAAGTGAAAAATTTTCGTTGTTTTAGTCATTCGGCGTCGGAGATGCCCGCGTAGCTCGCCGGAGGTGACGTGTCCGCCAGGTGTAGCTGACCTGGCGGACACGTGGATTTTTTTTATTTTTTTTTTTCATTCTTTTAAATTTTTTTAAAAACTTATTTTTAATTTTATTTGTATTTTTTTTTATTTTTTTATTTGGTCCAATTAAAAAAAATTAAAAAAAATGAAAAAAACTAATAAATCCACGTGTCCGTCAGGAGTTGCTGACCTGGCGGACACGTCACCTCCGGCGAGCCACGCGGGCGTCTCCGGCGCCGGAGGACTAAAACAGTGAAAATTTTTCACTTATGGAACTAGTTTGCGACATGCTCCACTTACGAGACTAAAATGATAAAGGGGTTCAGTTAGGGACTTAAAAAAAAGAGTTTACCCAAATAAAAAATATAGACAAACATGAGACGTAATAATATTATTTTATTAAGAAAAAAAACGGCTTAGGGAAAAAAATTACTCCAGTGGAGGATAATAAGTCAAAAATACATTTATTCTTGTATTAGTTTATCTTTTCTATTTTGAAAATTATTAAAAATCTCTCAAACATTATATTTGGTAGCCCTTTAGTAAACAATTCAACCAAATTGTTTTTCAACTAAATATTTTGTACATTGATTTCACTAATTTTCCTAAAATCACTCGTGAAGAAAATTTTTTTGTGAGATGTATTTTATTCTATCTTATTTCGATATCTTTTATTTGAATTAAACAAAGATGAATTATCTTATTATTGTAAGAAATAATGAATTATGAAGTATCCAATTACAATTTTTATTTTGGGAAAAAAAATGATCTCATTGAAACACAAAACAATCATGTTTAGTCCAATATTAAAAAAAAAAAAAAACATCAAATTTGATTTTATTATAAATATATATATATATTTTTATTTTTAATCCTATTTTTTAAAACTAACAAAAAATGCTAATATGGGCATAACGGATTTGCAATGATATCGGATCTAGACTGAACACAAATATGTTTTGCTAAAGATGACCGTATATGTGTAGTTAACAATATTTTCACCAAACTCACACAGCTGTGTTTGAAAAATAACACAATCGTGTTTCTTACTGGTTACTTTGCAAGAGGTTTATGGTGGATTTGGAGAAAAGAACAAACTGCGAACAGTGATATAAACATATATTTAAATATTAATTTTTTAAGATTATATTAAATATTAATTTCTTTGTCATCGAACTCATGTTTATTTAATCGGGCATGGATTTTTAAGAAAAGTGAGTAAATATAGAATTTTTTTATATAGTTAAGAAAAAATAAAAAATAATAGTATTTTTTACTAAAAAGGAAAAACAACATGGATATCCTGCAAAATTGTAAAAGTTAGCATGAGTTAATCATAACTCCTAATCTCATTTAGGGATCGTTTGGACTAGTTTAAATTATAAGCAGAAGTAGAAACATAAACTAAAAGCAGAAATTTTCATTTTCATTTTATATTTGAATAAATTTTGATAAAATTGTCCATAACTTCCTTGTGGTTACGAAACTCGTAAATCTTCACTCTACTTTAAAAATCACATGACACCCATTATACTTTAAAAAATATTGCATGAAACCCTTCCGTGGTTTCGAAACTCAGCGTAAATCCCTCATTTATTTTAAAAATCGCATAACTCTCCCTTATATATTACATGAAACCTCTATATGGTTTCGAAACTCAAACGTAAATCCCCACTTTACTTTAAAAATTGCATGACGTTCTTTTATATTTTCAAAAATATTGCATGAAACCCCGCCATGTAGAAAATATAGATAGGAAATCTTCTCACCACACAGGGGAGGTTTCGTTGTGGTGAGGTTTCATGCAACGTTTTTTAAAATATAATGGCACACCATGCAATTTTTAAAGTAAATGAAAATTTTACGCTGAATTTCGAAATTACAGGGGAGTTATGAACAATTTTACTATAAATTTTTATAAAAGCAACTTTTTGAATAATACTGTTTCGCTGTGATAAATTTTAAAGTGCTATTAAACTGTTAAAATATTCAAACATACATGTTGTTAATATAATTGTATTTTTCTATAAAAATTTATAATTTATTTTAAAATTTTAAAAATTATCTTTAAAAATTTTAAATTATCTAGCACAAAAAATAATTTTTAAAATTTTTGTTATTTATATTTTAGAATTTTTATTTAAGGATAGTATATAAATTAAAATAAAAAATTACCATTCAATATAAAATTATTTGGATTTTATAATTTATTTTAAAATTTAATAAATTATATTTAATAATTGTAGTATAATTTAAAATTATATTTTTAGATTTGCAATCTATTATAATTTTAAATTTCAATTTAAATATAACATATAAATTAAAAATAATAATATAATTATATTTTTTTTAATTTGTTATAAAATATAATATAAAAATTAATTATATTATTATTATTATTATTAAAAGTAAAACAATAATTTTAATTGAAAAAAAGTTTCTGATTATTTCAAAAGTTACCTTTAAAATCTTTTTGAAAAAAAAAAAAAAAATTTGAAAATACAAAATATTTTTTTAGAGGTAGAAGTAAAAAAATCTTGCCAAAACCCAATCTAAAACAAAGCTAAAAATGTAATTTCATTTGTTTAATCAGTTGTGCCGATTAAAACATAACATGAGCACATGACCCTAACCAAAGATGAATGAATATACATTTGACTGACAAAGAGAGTAATTAATTCAACAAGAAAAAGAATACGACATTGAAAGCTTCCATAGTCGTTGAATATTATTCAACATAGAAAAAATATGGAAACCCCCTATTACTTAAGGATGAAAGGTTACCCCACTTAACACCAATTGCTTTTAAGTTGTATCTCAGATCCCTTTATATTTAAAGCCATGATGCTCGTATTTAGTAGCGGAGCCAGAGTGCCAAAGTCGGGTAAATAATGCAAAATAAAATGTTAAAATATTCAATATATTCTTATACATTTAGTATGAAAATTGTAATTTTTGAGTCATTATATTTTGAAATCTCCGTAAAATCCTTTTAATTTTACATTTTACAAAAATAATTTCTCTATATAACATACTAGACAATCTATAAGAAAGCTATACGCAAATCAATCTTTTGACCGTTGCAGGTATAATGGGCAAAACCAATGGTAGTACCATAAGTCGATATATCAAATGAAAATAAGTATTTGCTTTGAGTTCAACCATCTTCTTTGCAAGACCTTCAATATAAAAAATATTAAAGAAATTTAGTTCTCTTCGCACATAATGAAATGTATGATCAAAGTCGTGATCTCAATTCAATAAGATTTTCCTCGGTAAAATCT